AAATAATTTCTTGTATTTTCATACGAAAAAGACGTATGAATAATGAAATGATAAAAATATGATTAAAAATATTTAAAAATTAGTGAAATATGTAAAAATATGTAATTATACTAAAATATGTAAAAATATGTAAAATAAAAGTATCATCATTTTAATAGGAATGATTTAAATCATAAACATTTCTTATCAAATCTTAAATATCTCGTTTTAATAAAAATATGTATTTACATATAAATCCGTTCCCTAATCATTACATAATTTATTATAATTAGACGTAATAAAATATGTTATACAAAATTACTTATTGAAAAAAAAAATCTGAAATTTTAGTTTGTTTTTTTTCTTGTATTGCAATTGCCTCAAAATTAGACTGGAGTTGATTAACTAGTGACAATGAAACTGCATCACTCTTATTGAGACAAAACGTCTTTAGTTTATTCGCTAACTGTAATGCTTCTTTGAGTATTATTTTTTCTTCGTCTACACCGTCTGTACTATCTTCTTCTTGTTCCACGTCATGACTTTCATCCTCACTCATGCCATCATTGATTATGTCTTCAATGTTCAATGATAAGTCTTCGGTTTGTAAGCATTCATCTATTGACGAATAGTCCTGTGCATTTGTTGGATATATTGTTGAAACTAGTTTCGTTAACTCATTACTCAGATCTTCTACTTGTGTTAATTTACCAATATTATCTGACCCCGGAAACCCGGCTTTTATGAAACATTTAGTGACCGTTTCCTTGTTTATTTTTTCTAAAGCTGCTGTAGTCCACATAACTGCCTCAAGAACTGTCACATTTGGTTTTTTTATATTTTCGTTATCTATAGACGAAATTACGTGTTTTAAAAGATTTATGCGGTAATGAGTTTTGAAATTTTTTATAATGCCTAGGTCAAGAGGTTGGCAAGTTGAAGTTACATTTGGTGGAAAGAATGCGAGTTTCACATTCTGTAAATTCAAATGAGGATGACTAGTCGCATTATCAAGAAAAAGGATAACCTTCCGGCCTTGCATTTTTCTATCGAAATTCGATAACCATTCTTTCATTAATTCTTGTGTCATCCAAACTTTACGATTAGCCTTCCACGTTACTCCAAGATCGTTGACGATTATGTTCTTAAAACACCGGGGTTTTAACGCCTTTCCAATCACCAAAGGTGTTTCAAAATCGCCTTCCATATTAACACACAACATAACTGTAATTTGTTCTTTACTTATTTTTCCACCACTGCAGTTCTCACCTTTGAGACACATTGTTTTATTGGGTAAAGCACGAAAAAATAAGCCAGTTTCATCTAAATAAAAAATATTTTTTGGAACAAATCCTTCACATATTTCGACTAATTTATTATTCCAGTCGTCCACAATATCATGGTCAACGGAACTACTTTCTCCACAGATAGCTTTATAAGCAATATTGTGACGTTTGCGAAATTTTTCGAGCCATCCATTAGACGCTTTAAAATTAGTTCTACCCAAAGTTTTAGCAATTTCTATAGCTTTTTGCTGTATGAGAGGACCAGAGATAGGCAAATTTTTAGCACGGACGCGGCAGAATCATTCATAACACACATGGTCTATTTCAAAGCCCTTACCTTCAATAAAATTCTTTTTTGTCTCTCCATTCACGTTTTCATCACACCATTTACGCAATAGATCTACCCGGGACTTGAGTATGGTTCCAATTTGAGTTTTACCAACTTTAAATTGAGTCACTAATTCACGACCACTTTGTTTTTTTGCATCATAACATTTTATTATGTCGATTTTATTTTTCAACGTCAAACGCGACCGTACCGGAGCCATGGTAAATACGATACTAACGGACAATGCTATCGATAGGTACTGATACCTAAGTCATAACATCACTATCGTTCGTATAGGTTCTTATTTAATTTTGTAATTTTTCATACCTTATCGTATTCATTAAATTACGATTTAGATAAATGTCTTTATCGGTAAAATATATTGTATATTACATATTGTATTGTATACCTACACAATAAGTTTGTATTTCTTGGACAGCTGTCCGTTATTTAGATATATTTAAACACTTCGGACTACCTAACCTGTCCGCGTCCGTTATTCAGAGGTGTCCGCTATTTAGAGGAGCATTATCTATTATTTTCAACGGGACAATGCCGGGACCGGAAATTTTGTCCGTTATTGAGAGGTGTCCACTAATTAGAGGTGTCCGTTAAGAGAGGTTTCACTTCCTTCCGAAAAGCATTACCAAAAACAATATTGTTCACACACCTGTATGGTTAGAATACTTTTGGGCCTTATCTCATTGAAATGTATTTTTTATTTTGAAATTCAAATTTCGATTTACCAATTATTGGAACCAGTGACAACATGTTTAATTAAACGTTCTTGTTGCAAAAATAAAATATATATTTTAATTACTACTGAAAACGTAGTAATATTCTTCTGGTTCTGAATGACGTTCGACGTGTTTTTGTTTGATTTTTTTTCTAAAATACGTTTAATTAATTTCAAACATTTAAATACAATAAACACAATTTACTTTACTTAATATTCAACACATAACTAATGCAGATGAATAACAAAAAAATAAATATATTTATGTATCTATCTCTATCGAAATAAAAGTAGAGACCATGTTCAGTTTGGTTTAAAACAAGACTTTATTTATGCACGTACCTACGTAGACTTTATCCTCACCTATTAAATTATTATTTAAACCTAATATATTACGTTTTATAGAGTCAAACCTTAACCTTTTAGAATAGAGTGTTCACATATATTTATCTATATATATAAATCTCGTGTTACAGTGTTTGTAACCATACTCCTCCCAAACGGCTTAACCAATTTTAATGAAGTTTTACATATACATTTAGTAGGTCTGCGAATAGGTTTTTATCTATTTTTTATACTCCTATTGTGTTACTGTGCTATTGTTTAATAAATCCTAATTTTATTTAAGAATATTTGACCCAATCGATAACTGCGCAATTGAAAATGAATTATTAAATGTACTATTAAAAAATATTTAAAAGATATTAATTTTATTTTTGGTATTAAATAACGGGTATTGTATAAATATTAAACAAAAATATCCCGCAACAAGTCCCAAAACAATCAAGAATTTTAGTTCGAAGGATTATTATGCATATCGGTTGATGATTAGATGCGATTAGGTCAACATTATTCTACGGTATCGTGAGCTTTGTAGCGTGAACCACGTATGTGTCGCCACCTAGCGGTGTCCAATTATGCAACTGACACCGACGAACCCGCTCTCTTTGATATGCGCGGTGCGTCGCACCTTTCGCGTCAGTTAATATCCAATATATAGAGCGCTCTTTTTTCACTGACGATTTTCTTTCCGAACTTCCTTTTACATTTTCTAATCTATCAAATTAATTTCGTGATCTTCACTGCTAAAAAATCATCAATATATATCTGTAAGCACTTCTCGAAACTACTCCGCGTCACAATACATCTTCAATTTAAAAGAAAACTAAGAAAAACCAAAAACATCGCTAACCTAGACTCTGCTATACAAATCCAGATCTGACACGCTTAAATACCCGACCAAATAAACTCAAAATTACCTCTCTCGCAGTTGTTCTGTCGAACTTCTATGGGTACTATGCATATAGAATATAATTCGTTGTATTTCACTATATGTTACGTAGTTCCCCGTAGCCAAGTAGACTGACAACTAGCCAGTTGAACTTCATCAACTGTGACGTCATCAACTTCCCTAGCAATACGAACATTAGCCGCCATCCACAGTGCCGCTGCCCGTCGTATTTTATCTTTTTATTACCAACTCAATCCAGGACATCCCACCGCTGGTTCAGCCGCCCGCCACTTTTGCCGCGGACAAGCCAAGCAGCTCTTGCGGTTTGGGAGGAACTGTTCTCCATCATTCATTCAACATTTTAAACTAAAATAATCAGTAATATATCTTCATATAAATGCTATATATGTTTGTGTCATATTTGTAATTTTATAAATAAATATTATTATCATCTATTTATATAAAAACACTGTCTAATATACTTGGAAATATATATATATACGTATACCTTGACGATCCGACACATAGAGGAGAGTCAAACGTTACAGCTTTGTCAACAATTTATAGTCGACATGTATGTAAAGATAGAGAGTGAACGATTACAATACTTACGATTTAATCAAAAAAAGTTGCTTGCGGAAGATTCTCAAAACAATTGTTAGATATCGGTGATGGGAAATTTACTACAGATGAAACGGGATGCATACAATTATTGACCGATTTCTTCACAATCATTGATTCGCAAAATGCTCTCATTGACCAGATATTTCTCAATGTACACAGACAATACACAAATTATGAGTGGCTGGATAAAAGAGCAATTTTAGCAGCAAAAAATGTGAACAGCAACGAATTGAATTTCAAGATACAACATTTGTTATTAATGTTAATTAATTAACATTGTTACGAATGAAGTAGTGTGGACGAGGTTAACGAGAGAAGAACGCAATTTGATGGACGCAATAATAAAAAAAAAAAAAGTATGAAGCTAATTGCACATATCTGCTAAGATATAACAAGTTTATCGTCATCATCACGGAAGGGGAAATAATAGTTAAGTTAACTGAAGGGAGACCGCGTAAATCCAGATTCGAAAAAAATTTCCGTCGGATGGGATCTACCTTGGCGTGTGGCAGACACGAATGACCACAACTACAAGATTTGGCCTTTAGAAGCTGATGATGAACACACCGTTAGTATTTCCGGTTTTTAGATTGAATAATCACAAGTAAAACGAAAAACGAGACACAAGACGACGGTACGAATGTCGCTTTGTCGAAATATTAACGTGTACGACGGCGAGTTGTATAGGCAATTCCCGGGTGCAATTGTATTTTGCAACACATTCTCATTATCGTTCAACAACGATTCGAGCAAGTTGGAAGACGTTACTGGATAAATTGAAAACCTAGTTGTTATTCTATCAACACCTAAAGCTTACGGTTCTTGAGAGAATCTCTGTTGCGTTTTTATGAATAAAATATTTACAAGTATAGGAATTATATTTATAATATGGCGTTTATAAACAATTATTATTATTATTATTATTGATTAGCTGATTTACCCTGTTTCGTCTGGATTAGTTTTTAATTATTTTTGATTATCATTTTTATTATAACCATACACAGGCCATCTAACGTGTCATGTATTATATTACATAATACTGAAAAAACTATAACAAATATTCAACGTATTCGATAAACTTTCTAACAATTTTTTTTTTTCGTACAAACTTTGTCCAGGAAAAATTGTGAATACAACAACAACCACGAATCAGTCAAATCGATCAAGCAGTTCACTAGTGATTCTTACATGAGATAATTTATTTTTATATATGAATGCAGTTGTGACATTTAGTATAGAATATTACCCTATATGTGTATAATTACGTGTATTTGTATAGTTACGAAATACCGACAATGGAATGAATGAACGTTAAAACTATAATTGTTTTAAAAATGTTTGTTTAAATTGTAATAGTTCTATAAACATTTCATGAAATCATCAATTATGATGTATCATATATATGCCATTGAAAATCAAAACAATATAAAGTAACATAATTTATGTAAAAATGAATATATTACGATTGAAAAAAAAAATAACATCGTATTATATAACATTCGTTAACATTTTGAAAAAATCAAAAACATAGTTATGCAAATTAATAATTATGGTGCATAATATACAAATCGAAATGTACAAAAAAAAAAATAGTTTTGAAATGTATCAAACATGTACAACAGCTTATAAAAATATAAAACTGTTTATAAGGTTTCCCTATAAAGGGATTAAAGGGTATTGTATATAGGGTATCCCTAAGTTTTTATTCGATGACAAGCGTAAAATGAAATACTTTAGTAGACATTGCTTCCTTCGAATTGTCATCGTTTATAATTAAACTGCAATTGGTCCAGTTGCTCTTCGCTAAAATTTTAATAAAACTCATTAACCTTGAGCTTGATTTTTAATGCTTTACATAGTTTTTCAATTTCGACTTGCACTTGTAGCGTCGCGTTGGGCTTCTTGTATAACTCGAACAGATAGTTTATTATAGAAGTTGTCCACGGACTGTCCGGGCCAAAGTTTCCCCCCGAGCAAGATTCAAGTAAGTTCGTCACCAACTGCACGACGAATAGCAGCTCTTCGCCACCTTTCTCGCACGCTTCGTTCAACAAGTGTTCCAAAGCAATATCGTCCTTCGATATCGGTTTATTTTGCGCCAAAGTGATCATGCTCAACCAGTGGCCCAGATTTTTGATCAGCAATCTATCTGCCATACTTGGAATGCCTACATTTCTTCTCAACAGAACCTAAAACCATAATATTTACATTCTCTGTCAGTACAATTACAACATAATTGAAGTAGTTTATTTAAGTGATTTGATTATTATTACGATGTGCTATCCTGAATATACATTGCGGAATAAAAATAGTAGATTCATTTTTATATATGCTATATCGTAACGCACTAAAAACCTGTAGCGTGAACCACGTATGTGTCGCCACCTAGTGGTGTCCAATTATGCAACTGACACCAACGAACCCGCTCTCTTTGATATGCGCGGCGCGTCGTACTTTTCGCGTAATTTAATACCCAATATAGAGCGCTCTTTTTTCACTAACGATTTTCTTTCCGAACTTCCTTTTACATTTTCTAATCTATCAAATTAATTTCGTGATCTCCACTGCTAAAAAATCATCAATATATATCTGTAAGCACTTCTCGAAACTACTCCGCGTCACAATACAT